ATTCACAGATTTGCTGGGTAGAGGCAACAAGGGAGAACGTAGAATCAAAGATAACTAAGAGGATGATAAGGTCTTTAACAGAAAGAGAATTCAGGAGGGGAAAGCTTGCAGGGAACATGCTTAAAAGATAGTAATTCAAAATGCTAACAGGAACAGAAAAAAGGAAGAAGCTAAAGAAAATCCCTTTTCTAGCATAGGAAAGGGTAATTGCTACTTCCATATATTATAGAGAAGAATCATATTCAGTTGTGGGTTGGACTACTCAGCCTCTGAAGTACCTTCCAACTCTGAATTTATGCCTGTGTCTCCCCTCCAGGGCCTAGCAGAGTGTTTTGTACATAGGAACTGCTTAACAGATGCCTGTTATTTTGTATTATAATTATCTGTGTATGACTCATGTCTGCCCAACTAAACTAAACCTCATGAAGAGACTTTGTTTCATTCAAACTCCTCTCTCTGTGTATCTAGCACAGTGCTCTGCATGTAGGAGGCGTGTAATAAATATTTGTCGAAATGAACTGGTACAATGGAAAGAACAGTCTAAGGATTATCAGAAGCCCTGAAATCTATTCTCAGCTTTGCCACTACTTTTTTGTGTGACTTTACCTAACAGGTCTGGGTACTATCAACCGGTGGTCTTTCTTCATTCACAACCACATTGCATTTAATTTTCATATATATTTTTACATATGCTTTCCTCACCTATTAGAATGTAAGCTCCTTCCAAGTAAGAATTATTTTATATCCTCAGCACCTGGCACAGAGTGGATACTGAATAAATATTTGCTGATTGATTGATTAATAGAAGACTAGAACACTTGAGGGAGAGAACACTAAAAACTAGAGGAACCTTAGGAAATGAGGTGTCTCCTGAGCTGAGCTCTGAATGAAGCAAAGGGCTTTAAGAGGCAAAGATAAAGAGGGAACAGACATCCAAGTATGGGGAAGGAGAATGTGTGAACTCATGGAGACGGGAAATGGAGCATTATTTTGGGAAATCGAGATCAGACTGGCTGGAAATGTAGACTTTCATAAAGAAGAGTGATGTAAAATGTGTCAGGCTAAGGGGTTTTTATTTTATCCTGGGGGGGGGGGGGGGGGGGGGGGGGGAAGGGGGGGTTTTGGGGGGGGGGGGGGGGGGGGGGAGAGAGAGAGTAGGAAAGTGGCAGTTTTGGCAGCTGTGTGGAAACTGGTTTGGATAAAACATAGACTGAAATCGAGAAGACCAATTAGGAGGCTTTACAGTAGTCCAAATGGGAGACTGATTTACTGCAGTGGTTTTGAATGGCAGAAAGGGACAAATGTGAGATACTGAGGAGATAAAATATATCTTCATTTAAATGAAACTGCTTAAAAACAAGAAAGAAATTTATATATCCTGTGTTCATAATTAAATATTTGTTGCTAAAATAAAAAAAATGTCAGAAGTTAAAGACTCTTAGTTTACCGCATTGATAAATATACCACCTATTTCAGATAGTAGAAACTGATAACACAATGTTTGGGAAAAAACTTGCTACCTTCATGGATGCTGAAAGAACAAATGACTCTTCAGGGATTACCCCATGTCCACAGTTAAACCAGTTTTTGCACAATTGTAGTCCAAATAAGAGTTTATATGAGGGGCCAAAAACAGTGCCATATCATAGCAGATGCTGTAAGTCAGAAGTTCAAATCAAATGCTGGGGTAATTGAAGAACCCTGGGCCACTATGATACCTTAATCAGGCATTAGATTTGCCTAGGTTTCAATGAAGCATGAAATTCTTAAATGCACTGTCAGCTTTAGAAAGACTAAAGTTCATAACAACTTTTTTTGAAAATGATTCTTTAGTAAAATTTCAACAATCCTTCACTTCAGGACCTAAGTTTTCCTTGTGTTCATGATCCTCTCACCACCATGACTATTACAGCCTCCCTTTTCCTCCTCACCTGCATTCTGTAGCTCACATAATATAAATATTCGTTACACAGATATAAGTTCTTTACTTATTACATGTGTTCTATTTCTCAACTAGACATTAAATATTTTAAGGTCAGGGATCACATCACTTACTCCCTTGATATCCTCCCACAACCTGGTAGAGGAAACTGTATAAGTTAGTGTTGACTAATAATGATAATAGATGACATTTACATAGCGTTTTAAAATTTACACAGCACTTTGCATATATGATTTCATATGAATCCAACAAAAATCCTGAGGCAGGTATTACAGGTATTCTTATAACACTAAAGATTAAGAAAAATTCAGTGACTTGTCCATGGTTACACAGCTTGTTTTAAATGGGCTTCAAACTCAAGTTTTGTCGGATCCCAAGTCTGTAACAGTCTTCCCACCACATAACATGCTCAGAGTGAGAGAATGCTGGACTGAACTTACCACTGAGTCTTAGGATGACTGAGCCAATTCCCATAGGCACATAATTGTGTGAAGGGTACTAGGTAGCAGAGACTATACCTATGGTTTGTAAATGTTCACTAATTTGAATTCCAATAATCATTTGTAATTCAATCAATCAATATACTTTTAAGTACATGTGTACCAGGCACTTTTCGGGAGATACACAGCCAAAAATTAACACATAAACATTTATTAAATATCTAGTATGTGCTAGGCATGGTACTAAACACATACAAAAAGGGGCAAATGACAGTCCCTGCCCTCAAGAACCTCAAAATTTAATGGGCGAGACAATATACAAACAAATGTATACAAAGCAACCTATAGATAGGATAAATAAGAAGTGACTTACAGAGGGAAGGCACTAGAATTAAGAGAGGCTGAGGAGGGCTTTTATAAAAAAGGAATTTTAGTTAGACTTAAAGGAAGCTAGGGAGATCAGTAGGCTAAGCAGAGGAAGGAGAGACTTCCAGTCACGGGAGATGGCCAGAGAACATGCCCACAGCTGAGAGATACAGTGTCTTATTCATGGAACTGCAAGGAGGCTAGTGTCACTGGATGAAGAGTAGGTGGTAGGGAATTAGGTGTGAGAAGACTGGAGAGGTAGGAGGGGGATAGGTTATGGGAGAGAGAGTGAGGAGTCCAGGATGACTCCAAAGTTGTGAGCCTGTGGGAGTGGGAGGATGGAGAAGGTAGGAGGGTTGAGGGTTTAGGCCCTAACTTTAGGGGAAAAAATAAGTTCCATTTTGGACATGTTGAATTTAAGGTGTCTACTGGATATCCAGTTCCAAATGTGATTTGAGTCATCAGTGTAGAAAGGATAATTAAATCCATGGGATCTGATGAGCATAACCAAGTGAACAAAAAACAAAATTGTTCCAGCCCTCCAAGATCTTACATTCTATTAGTTGAAAACAGGTACACACAAAGCATGTATAAAACACTATACAAAGTCTCTTGGAGGAGGTGGTGTTTGAGATGAGCTCCAAAGGGAGTACTTTCCAAACATGGGGGACAAACCTATGCAAAAGCACGGAGAAAGGGGATGGAATGTCTTGTGTGAGAATCAGCATAAGTCAGTCTGACTGGATCACAGTGCGAGTATGTGAATAGGAGTAAGTATAATAAAGACAGAAGGTGGTCAGTCTATTAGAGCTAGTAAAGAGCTAGCTTGTGAAGAAGTTTTAAATGCCAACCACAAGTTCATACTACTTACTGAATAAAAAATTCAAAATATTTTTCCTTATGAATTTTCAAAGTCTTTTGAATCACTTAGAATCTAGACTAAAATCAGTAACTTTCTCATGTTAAGATAGTGAGGATTTTTCCACTTCAAATCTGTCCTCATACACCTTAACATTTAACTCCTGTTTGCCTTAATTTACTCAACTTTAAAAAAGAGATAATAGTTGTACCTACTTCACTGGATTGTTGTGAGGATAAAATGAGATAGCATTTGTAAAGTGCCTAGCATAATGTCTGGCCACAGAAGGTGTTTAATAAATGCATGCTCCACCCTCCTTATATATTTCAATTAAACAAATATTTATTAATTACTACTATCTACTTCTTTATTAATATGACCTTATAGCATGAGCATTGAACTTGGGAGTTCCAAGACCTGGATTTGACCCAATGTTAGAGCTAAGAGACTGAGCAAAAAGATACTCTAAGTCTCAGTATATCTTTAACTGTAAAATGGGAATAATAATATTTGTACTATTAACCTTATGGGGATACTGTGAGGAAAAGCCTTTGTAAAATGAACTTTATATAAACTATGATTACTATATTGAAAATTTTATGTAAATTTTCCCCCATCACCCTAACCTCACTATACTTTTATAGTGAGTTTATAGGTGGTTTACAGAACTATAAAGTATAAACGTTTTATAACGCTGGTATTCTAGCTAAAGTAGACTGTGTTTTCCTCTTCCGCCAATTACAGTTCTCCTCGCTACCTAACTTTCAGTGTTAAAACATTCCCAAGAAAACTTTAATGAAAGTCTCATTTCCTCATTTGTAAAATGAGGGGTATTGGTCTAGGGATCGATCATCTCCCAAAGAAATAAAGATACAAAGCATAATGCTCCTAGGATTGAGGGAAAAAATTGGAAAGATGTCATTAGTCTAGGGAGCTTAAAAGTGAAGAGCCATTAACTGGTTGTGCGACTTCTCTCTGAGCCTCAGTTTTCCTCATCTGAGAGACGGGAGGGTTAAACTAGAACCTGGTTACTAGATGGTTTCTCCAACTCTGCTATTCTGCTGATGGGGGTCTGGGAAGCGTGCTCCCGTCTCCCCTCCCTCCAAGCGCTCAGTAACACGCTCGGGGCAAGAAGCTGGAGGACTCCGCGAGGGAAGCTCGCAGGCCGGCCTGCCAATGAGGTCACCGCGGGGCGGGGCTTGAAGCTACACAGGCTGCCCGTTGCTCGAAGGCCTACAACGACACCCGACCTAACCGACGCGTACCACGTTCTACTAGCCCCGAACACATTCCACCCTTCTCTCCCGGGCTCGTGCCTCCTTCCCTCCCAGCCGGGCGCCTGCCTCGGCCAGCCGGCCCCCTGCAACCCCGTCAGCCCCCACGCCCTGCTCACCGTAGGCGTAGATGCCTCGCAGCAGATCCTCCCGCAAACCCATCGTGTCGAAGGTGGGCGTCACGTCCACCTCTTCACTGGTCTCGAATTCCACTTTGGTCATGTCTTCTTCCTTCAGCAGCCGCTTCCGCGCAGAACCTGAAGCAGCCATCGTGGCTGTGGCAGCCATACTGCCTGGGAAGCCGGAAAGGGGGTGGGGGCAGGGAACTGCGCGCGCGCGCGCACGCCTAGGCCCTAGAAAGACACGCACAGAAAGAGCTAATAGGCTGCGCCGTCATTCACCCATCGGCGTAGGAAAGGTCAGGGGCGGGCGGGTGTGCGTCCGAACGTGAGCAAGCACGTACGCACAGGACCGTACGCACGGGAACGTGCGCCCGGGAGGAGCTGACGGTTCGTTGTTCTCTCTAAGTCACGTGACCGGGGAAGGCGCCGCGCTTTCCGTTGGAGTGGGCGGGGAGTGGAAGGGGAGGTACCCTTGGGTCCAGGGTCTCAGTCTCATCAGGCTTCTAATGGGTTCTTTGAAGCTGCGCGTGAACCCTGAATATTAGGGAGAATATGAGAGAAACTGTTTCAGTACAGGACTGGGCTGGGGAAGAAGCCGCGTCCCTGGTTCATAGTGATTGTTTGAGGGCTTTAAATAGCTAAGCCCCGGAGTTTGATGTTTGGGTTCGGGTTTGCTTTGTGGGAACACCAAGGGTCCTCCCTGCTCCCTCCAGGGTCCGCGGGACCTGGCAGCACCCTGACCCTAGGGAGACATCCCGTCCGGGAATTTGAGGGGATGGGTTCTAGGCACAGCTCAGGGGGCAGCTACAGTCCAGGAAGGCACTCACTGGAAGGCGTAACAGGGCGGCTGCTGCAGAGAAGGGAGAGGGCTGTGGAATCAAGATTCCCTTGGACTCTGGCAGTCAAGAGTCTAGCCAGGACAGGAGCAGACCCTCCTAACTCGGGCGAACAATCCTCCTGCCTCTAAGGGGTGGATCTCGGGTTCCTCAAGGAGAGAGAGGCCTTCTAGGCTCTGGAATTGCGAGTTGCTTTGTCCACATGTGGACCTGATTACCGTTGTAGTATTAATTGTATGCCCGCTCTCGTATTGGACGTTGTGGAAGAGTCTTTTTGTGGGAGAGTATACTCTAATTTTAATGGGGGGAATTTTTGTAATGATTGTTTTTACTATGCCATCTTATTAAATGTCTTTGCTAAGAACTAATTTTGTCTACTGGTTGATTGTTAACCACTGGTGAGAGCTTGCAAACTTGTTAGGAATGGGTACCTACTGGATACCCTCCTAGAACTTCTTGGTAGCAGCTGTTTTCTGAGGACCCAACCCCTGAGTGCAAGTGCAAGTTGAGGGAGCAGCCCAGGACGGATGTTACATATGTATTTGGTAGAAAGGAATTATTCATTTAATAATTCCTCCTCAAAGAAGTGTAGCATTTGTTGTTACATAATTCTAAAGAGCAAAACCAACTTCTTATACACATAAGGAATATAGAACTTTGGAGACCAGACATAAAAAATATTACAGAAGTTAGAAAGTTTTATGGACCTGGCTATGCTTCCCCATAGTCACATAGCCATTATGTGTTTGAGAGATGGCTAAGTCTTCCTCCCTCTCTACCATACCACATTGCTTCTCATAGGTATGAAATAAACCTCTTATTTCAGGTAAGAGACTGATATACGTGGTTGTGTGTATTTATGTGAATCAAAAGACATCACCCATACTATTTTACCATTTTTACCTATTTCAAAGCCCTGTGGCAACAGGTAAAACAGCAGGTGCTGTTTAACTTATGGTGTGAAAAAGGGGCTAGAAAAGATGCCCTAAAAATTGTCTGCTTTACCCAGCCCCAGCCTGCCTATTGTGGCAGACAGGGATCCTACCCAGTGGTTAAAAAGAATAGCTCTTGTTTTGAGAAAACTAAGCATTTATCACATAATGCACAAACTTAGAGCCTTCACTCCAAATATTCATACAGACTGTTTGTACCTGACCTGTGGTAAAGTGTTCCAAGCTTGTATTGATCTGATCAGCCACTGTTGGACACACTGTACCTTGATTCCAATATAGCGATGTCATTTTGGTCCTTTTTGAGAACAGACAACCATTTATGTGTATAAACATGTAGAAGACTGTGAAAGCCGGGGCTAGGTGATAACTTGTCTAGGTAACATCTGAGGTCTCTTCCAGCCTTGAGCAAGGCACTATATTCCCAGTCTAGTGCTGGAATCATTGTTTACTATGACTATATATCTTTTCAACTACTTTTCCATGATGCTAAACACAAATGGAAGACATCATAAAATCTTGTGGACTGGGACTACCATAAGTTTGTGTTATCTTGTCTCAACTGAGCCCTCACTGCTGAGCCCTCAATCTTTTTATTCTTCCTGATGTACTCTATCACAGTCTTGAGAGTCTGTTCCAAAGTATATTTTCTTTCCTCAAGCTGCCCGTACCAACGCCTTCCCTACTCTCTCTTAGCAGAGGGCCTTGTCTAACACTTTACCAAAAAAATCAAGGCTATCTTTCAGGAACTCCTTTTCTGCTTATATTCCATACTTCAAATCACCTCAGCATCATCCTCCTTTCAAACTTCCTTTGCTCCAGTGCCAGATGATAGGGTGCCCCTTTGTGGCAGGTGAAAGATGAAATGACTGAAGAAACAAAGACTTGAGCTTCTGAGCATTTCGATTTATTAAGCAATGCATGCCAATTGCCGAACAAATTGGGACCAATCACCTTCCTCAACTTTGGTACTGGACCCCAAATACAGATGGAGAAACATTTTTGTACATTAAAAACAATCAAATAAGACCAATTAATTAAAAGGAAACAACCAGGATATAACATTAGGTAATCTGACTTCTAATTGGAGGGACTTTCCAGGTTAGGAGGAGGAGAGCAAACAGGTGCAATTCTCTGAAATATTAAAAAAAAGAGAGATGTTCCACTCCCCCCACATATCTGTGAAAAATCAAAGGACCATGGAAATAATGACTGATAGATCAGTATAGGGCCAGTTTTCAGATAAGATATTGCTTGAGATGTATAATTGTGAAAAAAATCCTTGCATCAATTTTTGGGTCCGACTGGGTTTCTGGTCAGCATAATCCAGTCCTTAGTTAAGGGTCTCTAAACAGCTGATAGAGGTGGTCTAGCTTTCCAGCCATTCAAGGCTAGGTTCAAACAATGCAATAGAGTTTTCTCCCAATTCCTGCAACTGAAAAGTTTTCCCACAAGACAGAAATTGGAATAGACCCATAACTGAATAGAAAGGGAACTGAGCTAGCTGCAGAATTGATTCACAAGATGGAGTCAGTGTGGTTTACTCAATTCCCACAATTAACCACTTACTGTCCTTGTCCCCTCAATTCCCTCAATTTCTCCCTTTTCATTCATAGGGGAGTGGCAGCCCATTCCCCTATGGATCACTTATCTATAAGCCAAATCCATAAGGTTTTTCATATATTCATAATCAGAATTACATAAGTCAGGTTACAGATCATGCTAATTAGAGGGCTTACAATGGACTAATTTTTGAGGAGATTTATATTTCATCAAGGTAAACATGAAAACTTAAATACAAACACCATGAAACAAAAGGCTGAAGCAATACAATAATGATCATCAATATTAACTAAAATCAAGTCTCCTTGTATCCTGGTAGCCCATTCCCAATGTTCATTTAATCAGCACATTTTGAGTACCAGATGTCTCTTGTTGTCTGATCCCTGGATATCTTCTCTTAGATATTCTAGAATACACCTCGTTCTCAGGGCAACTCTAAAGGGTACAACTTCTCTGGTTCCAAATAACTTTTAAAGGTTCCTAGATAATTCTGATAAAATCTGGTAGTAATAAGACTTAATATAATTTAGTAAATATCTTAAATTTGGTTTTCCAATCCTGAAACTTCAGAGAATTTCAGTTTTTATGTACCACTTGTCATTTTTACCTTTACAGAAACCTTGCACCTCATTTAAGAAGCTTAAAAAATTTGTAAGGGTCTGACTTGTTTTTTTTTCTTTTTTTTTTTGCACTTAACAGTATTTCATTTTTTCCAATTATATGTAAAGATAGTTTTCAACATTCATTTTTGTAAGATTTTGAGTTCCAAATTTTTTCTCTCCCTCTCTTCCCTCCCCCCTCCCCAAGACAGCAAGCAATCTGATATAAGTTATACATGTACAATCATGTTAAACATATTTCCACATTAGTCGTGTGAAACAATAATCAGAACAAAAGAGAAAAACCATGAGAAAGAAAAAGCAAAAAAAAAAAAGTGAAAATAGTATGCTTCAATCTGCATTCAGACTCCATAGTTCTTTCTCTGGATGTAGATAGCATTTTCCATCACAAGTCTTTTGGAATTGTCTTGGATCATTGTATTGCTGAGAAAAGCTAAGTCTGTCATAGCTGATCATTACATAATGTTGTAGTTGCTGTGTACAGTGTTCTTCTAGTTCTGCTCACTTCACTCAGCATCAGTTCCTGGCATAGAATGCTCCATGCTTTTGCACTGGCTTTCTCCCATGCCTGGAATACCCTCTGTCTTCACCCCTACCTTTTAGCTTTCTTGGCGTCTTTCAAGATTCAGCCCAAACCCCATCTTCTGGTTCCTCCAACCTTCCCCTCTGAGATTGATTTATAGCTTTGTATATATCATATATGTACTTAGTAATTTACACAATGTATCATATGAACTTTGTAATTTACAGGTTGTCTTCCTCATTATAATGCAAGCTCACTGAGGGCAAGGATTATTTTTTACCTTTCTTTGTATCCTCAGCACTTAGCACAGTGCTAGATACACAGTAAGCTCTTCATACATTGTTCTTGACTGACTCTGTGCTCCTGACAAATTGACCTGCTTGCTACACTTAACATTCTATCTCCATTCTTACTTTTGCACAAGATGTCATACATACACACACACACACTATAGATATAGTGTGATATATGTATGTATGCCTGTATATGTGTATACAGGTATGTATATATACACATATGTATGTAATGCATGTATGCACACACATGTAATACACACATCTCTCCCAGTAAGCTCCTTAAAGGAGGGAACTGTTCCATTTTTGTATTTGTATCACCAGCACTTTATTATTATTTTTCACTGATGTTAACAGTCATTAGCTAAAGTACTTCTACATGTACAGCAGAAAAAAAATGACAAAAAAGATTGTA